ATTTATTCGCTATCTGGTTTCTTTAGCAAAGTTTTCTATTTATTTGTGTATTTGCCCGATGGCTGGCTTTGAGTTCAATTACTTCAAACAGCAGTGTTTAACTATAATTTAGCTATAATTACTGGTCTGCTGCTTCAATTGAGTCGAGTCCAATCGTATTTTTTCCCACTGTGCGAGAGAAATGATTCCCCATGATAGCAGTGCTAGGCAATTGCTTCATATACAAAATTGATGGAAATGGAACGAGAATGTTTCAACCATGAGCAGAATACATATTCGGAGGTTTCCATACCCACGGCTAAAAGTAATGGGCGCAATGCGATGTATCCAGTCGAGCTTCGAGTCCAAGGCGCTCCACTCGGATATATCATGCGGGAGAGAACGTTTCGTGGCCCGCCTCTTCCCAACCTTGAATCTCGAGTCGATAAACACCAGATGGCCTCGATGCATCGTGCAAAGCTCGAACGGATGGTCGGGGGACTGCGTCGTAAGATTGTCTAAACATCGAAGCCAGAACACGAGATCACGTCGACTGCGACCCTCGATCCAGTCTCCGAGATTCTATCATCTGGTTAGTGTCGGGTAGGAGGGAAGAGATTTCCGTAATTAGGTGAGTTATTCGTGCCCGTAAAAATTATTTCGCCACTAGATGTCTATTTCCTGTGTCCTAGAATGTGCTCATCGCTTTGCTGTCCGAGGCGCCATGGCGTCACTTATGAAAATTCACGTTTCCCGAATTTCCTTCTTTCTTCGTTTATTCCCCGAAGAAACATTGCATCGGGAAAAGCACGGTCCAATTTTAGAGACCGTCCCCATTCGTCATCGCGTCAAAGGACGCAATGATTCAATGAACTGTTTTCCCAGGTAAATGGGGAGATATTCCCCAAATTTCCCAAATTTTTCATAGCCATTGTCATTTCTCGAGAACGAAAGCGAAATTAAAAATGTCCTATGATACAATTGTGGAGAAGGCTCTTGAGCAGCTTCAGGTCCATAAGAAGCAAAGCAAATATATTACTTTTCCTAAGATCCTTAGTGATTTTTACTGAACCCAAGTTTGACATTTTCCAGCATGTTATCTTCATTATGTGGTGTTTCTCTTCCCTGGCCATAAGGAATCCCAAATTGCCTACTTCAAAAAGTAAAGATATGTAAAAGGATTTGATAGACACGAAATTTGTGAAATTCCTTTCGAATCATCAGGAAATACAAACATTTTAAACAAAATCGGTAGGAAAATTCACACCACGCCGATCGGCTGTCCCAGATTCCGGTTCCCCCCCCCCTCTTTCAGACGTCCGACCTTCCCCTTCGCACAATCCCCTCGCACATGCTCCCTTCTCAATTCCCTTTCCCCCCTCCCCTCCCATGAACCTCTCGTGCCAGGACTTGCCTTGCTTTCTCGCCTCCTTGCCTGGAATGAGTCATTGATGGAGGGTTCGACTTTGTCTCTTTGCGAAAGAAAGCGAGTCGCACCTTTTAAAAGATATTTAAACCTTCAAATTGAAGTTTGAAATGGGAAATGATATAATATAAAATATTACTGCTTCCATATAAAAAATATGAAAATAAAGCGTTATGTGATTGAAAATAGAGACCAAAAAACATCTGAACGAAGGATATGGAGGGATGAAGGAACCGACTAAAGGAATAACACATTTAACCTCACTTTCAAAGACCCATGCATATATTTCAAGGTAAAAATGGAACTGTGTAATTCATAGTTTTGCAATACAACCAAAAAATATTGCTTCATCAAGGGAATGAAAGGTAAATTTTAAAAGTAAAAAAAAAGTCTAGGTCAAAGTCTAGGACATGGGATGCACGACAATAGGTCAGGGAGTTTCATTTTGAAATTGTCTGAAAACGATGGTATTTGCTTTGAGTGGTCCCATTTTTCAAGAAAAGTATTTCATTAATGAGAAGGAGTGAGCAGGGCGAAAATGCTTGACTTTTAGGAGGTTTTGTAAAAATTTACCTTTCATTCCCTTGATAAAAAACATTATTTTTCGGTTGTTTTGCAAACCTATGAACTACGCAGTTAAATTTTTCGGGGGGAAAGAGGCAAAAAGAGTTTGGGTTGTCGATTTTTGATTAATTTAGGCTAACTTCGTTAATCACGATTGAAATATAATGAGTTTATATGTCGATTAATATATTTGACTTGACAGGTCTAGTTTTTTTTAAAGTTATTTCTGGTCTGACTGAACAAAAGTAGCAAAAATGGTCTAATAAGACACGCACCAATGAAAGCTGTGAAATTATTCCGCGAATTTACGAATGCACTCGTTTAAGACAAAACCAAAGGTTATGGGAAACCAAGAAGAAAGGCTACCGTCCCTCTAAATATGCCTTAGATAGAATAGATACTCATAAATGTTTACCCAAGGAACGCTTAATCTAAAAATATTAGAATAGTTTTGCTGGCCACTCTAAGTCACACGAGAATATTCCAAAAGAGTGCCATGACAATAGGTACAACGATGCCTGCACGGGAACTTTCCACTACATACCAAGAAAATTTATTAACATCTCTCCGACCAAGGGAAGAGTAATTATCATTAGACGCTTACACACTTCCTTTTTGCACATGGACATTTGCTTTTTTTTATTAATATACTTATTCAGGTGAAATTTAAATTTAGAAATTCCATGGAACAGCGATTCGGAATCTGTATACCTGTCGTTTTCATTTCAGACCTGAAAACAAGTCCAAGAAGCTGTTCATCAATATGAGGGGAATTCCATGTCTCCTATTTGCACTGATCCTTTCAACCAAGTCCGGGTCGGGAACGGTAAGTCGAACCACATACATAGTCTCCCATACCAGCATTTCAATGAGTAAGGATAAAGGCCACTAGTATGTGGATTTGCATGAAGAAGTGCATATACGATGCTCAAAAATACAATAAGAGGGTGAATTTATGCAATAAAGACTTGAAAATTTGTATTGTTTGATTTTAACACCTTGGAAGTTTTTTCTCCAATTTTCGGGGCAATGAATAGATTTTTTGGCTGCTAAAGATCGCAAATTTCCTTCTCGAAATGATTAAAAATTATTCATATATTTAAAATGAAACACTTCTAGCGAATGTAATATTTCTAGTCATTCTTCGATTTCCCAGGCACTCGAAAGCACTCCGATCCATGGAAGAGAAAATATTGGTGACAGCTTGGAAGAGATGATGTTAGCTCTGAGGACAACAACGCTAGAACATGCGAAGACAATCTCACAAATGAAGCATGACTTTGAAAACATGAAGAAGGCTACTGGGAAGCTGAGTACTGACTACGAGAACTTGAGGAAAGAGCACGAGAACCTCAAGTCTAGCTTCCAGGAACAT